GGGAGAGCGGCGCTCCAAAGGGACGAAAGGACGAGGGCGGAGGGTAGAGAGGTTGGGGTGAAAAGAGGGCGGAGGGGCAGAGGAAGAGAGAGAGAGAGAGAGACAGAGAGAGAAGAGAGGACTCCGCGCGCTTCGTCGGGGTGGTTGCCCTCGTCTGCGCTTTGTGGGAAATGGCCGCTCAATAACGCGTAGGTCCTCCTCGTCCGCCCCTGCTCACCCTACCTCGACGAGGCAAGGGCCGATGCCCCAAAAGACAGCCGTCGAACTACCCTTGTCCTACCCATCCCGTCATCCCCTCGAAAAGGTCAAACCTTGCCCTTCCTCCTCTCATCCCTCTCTTCTGGTAGACGAAAATCTACGAGTTGCAGAAATGAAAGAGGATGCAAGATGACGATTGGTCGAGGTTGGCAATAAAGGACTTTGTGGCTTGTCTTTGGGATTCCAGAGATCAGAATCTAACAACTGAGCCTGAAAAATTCAGAAAAGTGTAAGTTAGAATTTATGAATAGATTTTAAAAGATCTGCAAAAGCGTTTCTCCAATGACTGAATATTTGTCATATTAAATATTATTAAACGTTAGCCCTTGGTCAAGTTTCTTCAATCTTCGATCAAGTTTCTTTATAAATTCAATTATATTTAATAAATATCCATTCATTCATCCCTTTTTAATTTTAAAATGAAGAGTATAATCATTTTTGCATTGTATACATAAAAAAAAGAATAAATAAAATATAAAACGAGAGATAGACTTTTCAAAGAGAATGGATCTTTCAAAATCGCACATTCTTAGTAGTCTTCCATAGCGCAAGAGTTTGCCAGTTTTATGAGATACAATTTGCTGCAAACTTTTCGAAAACTCTTGGCGCAACGAGAAGAAACGACCAATTTGAGTATGACTTTAGAAAAGAATCGTTCAGAATAAAACTACACAAGTCTCTCTCTTGTAAAATTAGATTAGAAAAAATATACGAGCTAACATATCAATTAAATAAATGAAAGACGTTCTTCTCGAGTTCTTCTGGTTTATCGCTAATGACCGCTTTCATTAAAACATTTCCTAGATCCGATAGCGCACACATGTTGCAATTTTTCACGAACCGAGGGGGACGTTATCGCGCGCCAATTTTCAGCGGAGGACGGGTTTTCCCATGTTTTTTCCCCCCTTTTTTGTCTCCGACAAGTTCGCCGACTCGAGATCGATGAGTGCCTAACCCATCGCGCGCGAAAATACGGGGGCAGGGAGGAGGAGTGGAAAAAGAGAGAGCGAGAGAGAGAGAGGAAGGGAAAGGGAAACGGATCACGGTGTGTATCGATCTCGCCCCTAGGGACTCGCGGCAGGATTAGGACGTCACGGTAGCCACCCACGACGAGGCGGCGAGTACAGGAGCGGCGCGAGGACCTCGCATGGCCCTTGGCAACCGGTTGCCAGGAATCGCGCGAGCACCTCCTCTCCTCGCCGCCGCCTCCGCGTCTCGTCTCTCGCTTCGTCCAGCTTCGTCTCGCTCGCCGCCGAAGAGCCGCATCGCGTCGATAAAGCGTCCTCGCGAACAAATCGACGAGCCTCCGAGCGCGAAAAGAGCGCACCAGGATCGTGGAAAATCTACGAAAAAAGAATGCATTATTAACGTGTATTGAACGAGTACGATTGAATGAGTGGCTCAAACTTGTACGAGCCGTAATTTATAAGTATATAATAGTATATTAATATTAGATATGATCTCGCGTGTATGAATAAAAAATTCTACAGCAAGTAGATATTTTTTTTTTAATTGCTTGGAGAAAAATAAAATTTTGAAAATGTAAGTGGAAGAAAATTAAGAAGGTATTGATCTTTTTGAAAAGCAAGGATCGAAAAATTGTATCAATTCATATAGCACAAAATATTGCAGCAATATTGCGGAAATATTGCAATATTGTTGGAATGTTGGAACAATATTACAATATTGTCGCAATATTGCTGCAATGTTTTGTGCTGTATGGGAAACGCCTGTTTTTTTAATTAATTTTTGCATCTATTGATTGTTTTTTAATTATATAGATAAAAAAGTGATTAAAAATATATACAAAATTAAAGCAGTAAACTTGGACGAAATACCTGACATTTCTCGTTTGATCGAAAAATGGGTTCAAAGTTCCTTTAATTCATCTATATTTTACAAGCCAGCTTCTCCGCTTATCTAATTAATACCCTCGGAATTGATTTTTTCCGAAAATAGTCGGCCAAAGTGACAGATCAGATTTAGAAATCCGGACTAGATGCTGTATATATATATATCGAATTATCCATCCATGTTTCTGTGGAAAAAAATAATAATTAAATAAATATATAATAATTAATGTATAATGTACAATTAATTAAAATTAATGTATAATTTATTCAAGACTGCCATTTTAACATCCTTAACATCTTTCGTATTTGTCGCCATATCAAGATACATAAACATATTTTTTTTTTTTTTCAAAAATGTACCAAGATACATCCTCGAGACGCATCTCGTGTTCAGACTCCACGATTTTTTGGACGAATAGGGTCGCCGAATTTTCCTAGCACGTGCGAAAAATTCGCAGCGCATCTCGACATGCGTCAAAGCAAACGACCCCCAAAGTAAATGCAAAAATCGTCGCGAGGGAATCGCGCCAGATTCTGTGGAAAAAAATAATAAATAAATATTAATTAATGTATAATGTACAATTAATTAAAATTAATGTATAATTTATTCAAGATTGCCATTTTAACATCCTTAACATTCGTATTTCTCCCCATATTAAGATAATCATATATTTTTTTTTTCAAAAATGTACCAAGATACATCCTCGAGATGCATCTCGTGCTCAGGCTCCATTTTTTGGACGAATAGGGTCGCCGAATTTTCCCAGCAGGTGCGAAAAATTCACAGTGCATCTCGACAATGTCGCGCCAGGTTCTGTGGAAAGAAATAATAAATAAATATTAATTAATGTATAATGTATAATTAATTAAAATTAATATATAATTTATTCAAAACTGCCACTTTAACATCCTTAACATTTTTCGTATTTGTTTCCATATCAAGATACTAAACATATATATATATTTTTTTTCAAAAATGTACCAAGATACATCCTCGAGATGCATCTCTTGCTCAGGCTTCACGATTTTTTGGACGAATAGGGTCGCCGAATTTTCCCAGCAGGTGCGAAAAATTCGCAGCGCATCTCGACAATCTCTCAAAGCAAACGTAAATGCAAAAATCATCGCGAGGGGGTCGCGCCAAGTTCTGTGGAAAGAAATAATAAATAAATATTAATTAATGTATAATGTACAATTAATTAAAATTAATATATAACTTATTCAAAATTGCCATTTTAACATCTTTAACATCCTTCGTATTTATCCCCATATCAAGATATATAAACATATTTTTTTTTTTCAAAATGTACCAAGATACATTTCTCAAGACGCATCTCGTGCTCAGGTTCCACGATTTTTTGGACGAATAGGGTCGCCGAATTTTCCCAGCAGGTGCGAAAAATTCGCAGCGCATCTCGACAATGTCTCAAAGCAAACGTAAATGCAAAAATCATCGCGAGGGGGTCGCGCCAGGTTCGCCCCTGCGACATCAAGCATCCAATGACGCAACTCGCGCGCCACCCCCGCGCGACCTGCACCCCCTCGCCGCGTCACACCCATCCCGCGCTTCCGCATACCACGCGCGCATACCCTCAACCTAACCTATATCACTTTCTTAGGTCGTTGATCCTGCGGGTCCGCGCGCGCGATCGAACGTGCGTATTTTCGCCGCGCGCGCTTCATATGCATATAAAAAAATATATAATATATATATATATTTCGTATAAAATAAAATATATATGTATATTTTCTTTTGGAAAAAATTTTTTGAAAAAATAAATACCGCTCAATCTAATCTCTCTCTGCGAGGGTGGAGGAGGAGGCGAGGGAGGGGGAGGATCGTTCGAGGCACTTTGCGACATGAAGTGCGCTTTTTTTCTCGCTTATCGTATATAAAAATGTATTTGGAGAACAAAACGACGCTCTTATCTGTTATTTCTCGCGTTCAAAGCAAATAATCCTATTCTCCTGAGATATCCGACGTATTATTATGCTCTTGGGACAAAAAGAAACCTAAGATGCTAACCAAGATGCTTAAGTAGATCCTTTTCGTTTATCTGCGCGTTCTTTTAACTTTCCTAAAGCTTCTTTTTTTCCTCATTTACATTCTTTAACTCTCCACTTTTATATCGATTTTATGATGTTTTTTTTTTAAATAGGATCTTATTGCGTTTGGCTAGTTTCAGGTAAAGTTGATTGTCATAAAAATAATGTAAATTCAATTGCAATTATTTACAGAATTTATATACAAAAGCGATCGATATAAGATATTATACGTAGAGAATATAGTTTAACGTTTATTCAAAATCCAAAATAATAACTGAAGAAAATTTAAAATATTTAATAATTCTTATAATTGGTAAAGATTCCTTTTTCTGAGTCTCCAAATTAACAACTTACCGAATTAAAAATTAAACTCTAAAAATTGTATGAAAATGTAGCTGGACGAAAAATCTGTGCTTTACAAGATGGCTGGAAAACTCGTGGCTCGGTTCTGCGAGAACAAATCGAGATATCGATGCAGGTCTAGTATAATCGATATGTCTATTTCGATTAAATCCAGTAACTTCACATCATGGCTCTAAAATAAATATAGGGTCTGTTCGTTTTAGCTGCACTGCTGCACTAGTGCAATTAGAGTGAAAGAAAGTATGTTTGTCTCTTTCTAACTTATTGCACTAGTGCAGCTAAAACGAACAGACCCATAATTATTTTCTTCACTTTGGTAATACTTCATAAATCATCTCTTCATTATTCTATTATTTTATATTTATATTTCGCTGAATTAAACAGCTGTTTCTCGGTGGATAGAAAAGATGAAAATGACGACAATAAAATAAATTACATAAATAAATAATTAATATATAATAAATATACTTGTATAAAATTTCGATGTACTCGAATTTTATGGAGACTGAATAATTATCTCACGTGTAAGAAAAAAAGTAATTCTCTCGACTTGTCAAAATCGCGACGCGACGATCCCAATTGCACGTGTCACGTGTGAAACGTCATTTCGCCGGCGCGGTTTTAAACATGGCCGAGGGGACATTATCCAACAGTGACAATCGTGAGACGGAGAGACCGCGATTCGGAACGCGAAACTTACTCCTCGACGAGGATGTTTTCCAGCACAATGCATGGTACGTTGCAGCCCCACGTGTATAAACGGCTGCACGTGACATTTGGATCTGACGTTTGATCGAATTAGGAATTTATTTCCGGCCTAACCTCTGCGAAATTATGAGATGAAAACGTCAATCGAACATTATCGTGCTTATATTAATTGTTGTTGCATAGACTTTTGTTTATTTTATTATACACGAATATTTTCTCTTGTGCGATATTCTTTTCAGATTGGACTTGACATTAGATTTCAAATACATACCTGTTACGTGACAAGTATGCTCTAATTTATAAGTTAAAATGTTTTTAGAATTCAACACTTAATATTATATTTTATACGTAATAAATATATTTTAATAGTACATATTATTAATATTAAGTATTATATTTTAATATTTTATTTTATACGTAATAAATTATTTTCAAAGTGAAAACTGTTTTACTGTGAATATAAAAAGTACAGTTACAATGAGCTTTAATATTGATACATTTTGTTAATATATTTTTCATTTTGATCATTATTTCATTTTTATCTTATTTCCTTTTTATTTATTATTAAACAAGAGCAATATAAAAAGCTTTGAATCATTTTGTTTGTTTAATATATCTATTATTAAACACATTTTGATATTATTAAATATTTAGTATTTTCTTTAAAAGGGATAATGTTACATGGGATGAGGAACAAGAGAAATTGGCGCAACAAAAAGTGGATGAAAATTCCATTGTTACAATATCACATGAAGATTTCTTGAAATATGAAACTGAAGCGGACAAATATTGGGATAAATTTTATGGGATACACAACAATAGGTATGTTTTTATTTACAGATAAAATCTAGGAAAATTATTTAGATTAATTGGATTATTAAATCATTGAATTGAAATGTTATGTATGTTATTTTAGGGATAAATTTCAAATACATTTATTTCAGGTTTTTTAAAGACAGACATTGGTTACTGATTGAGTTTCCTGAATTGGCTCCCAATACTGTGAAACAGGACACAGAAAGGCCTATGAGAGCTGCGCTTACCGATGAAGATAGAAGTCGCGGAGATAAGCATATCAAAATCCTCAATTTACCATGTAAAGATAGCTGTAGAATATTCGAAATAGGCTGTGGTGTAGGAAACACTGTATTTCCTATACTCATGTATAATATAGATCCAAAGCTATTTGTTTATTGCTGTGATTTTTCCGCGAAAGCAATTGATATACTACAACAAAATTCTGCTTACAATGTAAATAGGTAAAATATTCTCAAAATTTGTCTATATTTATTTCCACTTATCCAATATATCACAAATACATATACATAATTGTATAGATTGTCTGCACAATTTACATCTGTGATTTTAGATGTAAAGCATTCGTCCTAGATGTAACTCAAGAAACATGGACAACTCCTTTTGAGCCTGAAAGTTTAGACATTATCATTCTTATATTTGTATTGTCTGCCATCCATCCTGATAAGTATGTTATTTTGTCATGTATTAATTCATTTCCTTTATTATATTATATTATTTATTGTCACATTAATATTAATTTTTTTATTGTGTGCTTTTTACATCTTTTATTATAATTTTTTATTTTATATATTTTTATATATTTAATATTTTATGGATTTAAATTTTTATATATTTTATATATTTAATGTTTTTTGTTATTTTTGTCATATAAATATTTCTGTAATATGTTTTGTTCTCATTATGCAATTACATTTGGGATATTTTGTATTTTTATTCCAAAAGGGGATTGTTAATATATTGTTTTATTGTTTTGTAGAATGCAACATGTTGTGCGACAAATATATAAGTATCTAAAGCCAGGTGGAATAGTTTTGTTTCGCGATTATGGCAGATATGATTTAGCGCAATTGAGATTTAAGAAAGGCAATTGTCTCGGCAAGAATTTCTATGTGCGCGGAGATGGCACCAAAGTGTACTTTTTCTTAAGTGGTAACATTTCTCTTAGAAATTTTGATATATTTTAATGTTATAGATTTAACATCATAATTTAATTATATATATATTATTCTTGTATGTCAAAACTTTTTTTAGACATTAGTAATTTCAAACCATAATATATGATTTTTGTCTGCTAAACAATTAGTATCTATAATTTGATACTTGTAATATTTTTCTCAATTTATTCATTAAAATTTTTACTATATAAAAATATCAATTCCAGAGGAAATTAGAAAATTATTTACCAATAATGGCTTCATCGAAGAACAAAACTTTGTAGATAGAAGACTGCAAGTTAATAGGGGCAAACAATTGAGAATGTACAGAGTGTGGGTGCAGGCGAAATATCGAAAGGCACCGTCGTAAAAGATATGTAATGCAATTTATCAAAATTCCTATGAAATATAAAAATTTTATGATAAACAACAATGTAATTGAGTAAAAAATGTATTTTTATATTGTGCCCGCGCATTTTTCATTACTGAATGTATATTAAAAATTGATTCTTATTTATTTAAATGCAACTCCTCCCTAGACCCCAAGTCTGAATGTGTAATATATAATTTATTACTATATAAAATTAAATATATATATAAATTTTTTGAAATGTTATCATTTATATGTGACATTTATTATTTGAAACTGAAAAAAAAATGCGTTAATATGTGTATATACATATGTACAATTATGTGTATATACATATTTGTCGAGGCTTGCAAATATTATAACGTGTGCGAAATTCTTTGAAGTCACAAAAACAACATTGTTATATCATTATATATTGATACATGAAAAAAAAAAATATATATATATATAAATATATATACAATGTATATATATATCGTTTTAAATTAAAATTAAATTAGATTTAATTTCATGCATATTGTTAAAATATTTCCAAGTATTAACAAATGCCTATTTCAGAAAATTGTTGACTGGTTTCAATTAAAATAAGATTTTAATTTTTCATGTATAAGGAAAAGCAACATTTTTGAAATTAAATTGAATTAAAATCCAGTAATATATAATTAATTAAACTTAATGAAGAAACTAAAATATTTTGTTCATAAATAATAATTTAAAATATTTTACTAGTTTTATGATTTGTGTAAATTATATAAATATGTGCGATATCAAGATGAGGCTACAATCTATTTTTATCTGTCGATTGGAAGTGACATGAGGGACGTGGATTGGATGTAACAGATTTATGTAATATTAAAATAATTTAATTGCACAATTCGACAAATAGTCAAGATTTTGACATGCCTTTGCTTTGTCTGCTGCAGATTTCCATTCTAACAGTGCATTATTCTTTTCCAAAATTATAACATAACTGTCATGAAAATCCATGAACAAGGGAAATATGTCGCAGTCAAATACAGTCGAGAAAAATTTCACATGTATTATTTACATTTATATAAATATCAGGTTGGTTCATAAAAACTGTGTCACATCTTTTTCCAGCAAGTTTTAATTTTAAGTAACAGTTAAATAAAATTAATTTTCAAAAGGAAAAAGTTTAAAGGAGAAATCTTCTAATTAAAATGCTTTCTAATCAATAAAAATTATTTTAAATCTTGAAATTTTTTGTAATTTTTTATGACAAATGTATCACCGTTTTGTGTCACCAACCAGATATTAATTTCTGATAATATCAGAAATATATTTGTAATATTTTAATACATTGGTAATATTTTTTAATACTAAGAAAATAAAATATATTGCTTAAAAAATATATGAAAAATTCGATTCAAATTGGTTACAATAAAGTGAAATTGAAATGATATAGTGAAGATATGGAGAATAAGAACCCTAGTATGCAAACTTTTCGACTTTATATGTGATTAATTGTATGATATATATTCACATATAATATTTAATTATGAACGAATATTACGCAAAAATGATAATTTATCTGAAAAATAAGGAAAGAAAAAACAAGCTATACATCCATATTGCTAAGTTAGCAAAACATCTTGCATTGTACAAACCTTAAAATTACTGCTTGTGATAAATGAGTAAACTTTAAATATTTTTGCGTAACTTCGTTCCATGTATCGGACGATCGCGTTTAACGTTGAATGGAAAACTTTGCGCTGGATTATTATCCTCCTAAATCAACCGACGCCAAGACTTTTGTTCACGAGGGACAAAAGAGGAAAGTTTCTACCTTCTTTTTGCACATTTAAAGTTGATCTATCGTCGTTAAATATTTTATCAACGCTTCTGGTTAAAATCACTGGCCATTATTGGTCGATGTCATTTAATAAAAAAAGATTAAAACCAATCATACGATATTTGGTTTCCACATAAAAAGATAGCGAAAAAGATCGCTATATTTATCTTTATAACGCGACATTTAGCATGAGATGATTTTTAGTATTTTTTAAAGCAGATTCAACTTGAAGATTCAACTCGCCAAAATAACGGATCTTTTACAATATATGATTAAAGTTTGATCGCTAAGCGTGACGAAGAAAACTTGTTATTCTCATGGCTCGCAATAATCAGTGACTATGATGATAGATCAGAGCAAGTATTCCGTCAATTCGAGATTTGTCTTATAATTCTTACAACTACAATTCTTGTAATGCTAGACAATGTCTAGCGACAAGAAGAAACTTGTCTATTTGTTCAATTTGATCAATAAAAAGTTTTATCAGATCTCTTTTAATCTTTATAATTTGTTACTAATAAATTTACTTATAGTTATATATACTTATAGTATGCATTATTAAGTAGAAATAAAAAAAATTGTATAAAAATGCGATACGATAATAATTTGCGAGGTCCAGTCTAGATATTTAAATACAACATAAATCTAACATAAATCATATCTAAAATGAACCTTACAAACTATGCTTCATCTTGCATTGAGTGCATCAAATTAATATAATAATAGCTCTGCTATTCATATATTATTATTATATCTCATATTTTTAAACATTATATTGGCATTATATGCACGTTCCAGAAATAAACTATGAGAGCTGTTAATATACTCATTTTAAGATGAAAGAAAGTCATATTTGTTTTAAAAACATGAACATTTAAAAAAAACACTTAAAAATTATCTTATTACGCAGCGATATAATAGCTCTGTATTGACACTTAATAAACTATCTCCGAAACATTTCCGACAGTACTTTAAGTACTGATTTCTGAAAAGACACTTTGTGTTTTCTAATCATGACCTAATATTACAAATCTCCTGATTTCACGAAACACGCGAGCCTGATGCGAATAAATAAACATCGCGATGATCGAACGCCGATGAATTCGTTGTCCATGCATGTCGTCGATGCGACAACGAAGGAGATTAAGAAAACACGACGATTAATCCACGACGGGACGACAAGAGTCGCGTCGTACGCGACTGTCGAGTTTACTTTGAAAATACAAGGGGAGAAGTCCGCACACGCGGAAGTCCCAAGTCGGATTAGACTTGGGATAGAAGTTGATTATACGTGTTGCGCGCGTCTAAAAGTATCACGCGGGGTCACGCGACCGGAGCCGTGCTGGAAGCAGCTTCCTCGTTGCTCGTCTCAGTCGGTCTGTGGGATAGATGAAATGCCCGCGCCTTTTCCTCCCAGAGTTTTTCGCCAGCCAACACCCTGAAAGAGAAGAAATTAAATAAATATCACGTATCAAATAATATATACAATAGTAATGGAATATATTTGGCAGCTAAAATTTTGTAAAATTTATAATTTCATTTAGATTCTGTTTCTCTCTCTAAGTCTTTTTATTTGATCAGAAATTATATATTCAACTTTTTATAATATATTGTTAAAGATTCCTGTGCAAGGAGTATTTTATTTGAACAATTATTTATATAAATTTTATATAAAAAATTGTTATATATAATAATTGGTGAAAAGTATTTTCCTTGTTTGTCGTTAACGCTACAATGTGAGATTTTCTTAAATAACTATAATCTTTCGTTTGAAATTTCAATTAATTTAGAATCATAACTGTAGACGGAACGGCATACATTAGTACGTCAAATTAATTGTGTCCTACTTCGGTTTTGGTTCACTGCACGCAATTTGAATACTGCTCATGATAGCAATCCTGTATACGATAACTGTAACAATCGTATAGTATATCGAATGGGCACGTACCGTCTGGTGTTGTCGCTAACTAAACTATCCGGGGCGCCGTAGACGGGCGGATTCGCGTAAGGATCGTAGCCGAGCACGGAGAGCATCGGGGCGATGTCAGCCATCTCTCTCACTACGTCCTCGGGAATATTGCCGACCCATTTGGTCAGCGCTGCCAGATTCACCGGCTTTATAATTTGATCCGACGACCTCTCGACCCTGTTGAACGTGTGACATTAATATTATCTAACGCTCGTTTTATCGCTTTTATTAACTTTATGCATTATTGCATTATTTTAATGTTAATGATGCATCATTTTATCGTGTTATCGATATTACTTCAATATTAATCATGTGAATGACTAATTCGTTTTAGCATTAATTACAATGCGTTAATTACAAGCATTATATCATTACATATTTTAACATTAATATGTAACTTCATCATCGTGTGACATTATTTTAACATGCACATGTATGTGTCTACTAATTCTATATTATAAATATTATTAAAGTAAATTTAAATGCATCTCTCTTTCTTTTTTTCTCTTATTTTAATGATGCCTCATCTTACGATATTACTTCAACATTAATAATGTGAATGTTAATTTGTTTGAATTTTAGCATTAATTATAATGCGAAGCATTATATCATTACATATTTTAACATTAATTAATATATAACTTTACCATCATGTAACGTTATTTTAACGTGCACATGTATGAATCTACTAATTGTATATTAAATATTATTAAATTAAAGTTTAAATGCGTCTCTCTTTCTCTTCTTCTCTTCTCTTTTTCTCTATTTTTCTTCTTACTTGCTCAGAGGCACTCCACCAGGTTTATTGATAAATTCCTCATGATGCATGACGGACTCGTTCCACGGCACATCCAAATAATTTAGTATTTTCTTCATCCATTGACGTGGATGCAGTACCAGCTGCTCGTATGGAACCATCAAGCATCTTTCTGGTCCTAGCTCCTTGCATTGGCCGTACATTACGGAAATTGCGTGATTCCATCTAATGAGAGATTGCCGGTAGGACGATAAATCGAACCCCGTTATGGTGACCTGCGAAAGGAGAGAAGATGATACTTGTAGAATCGTCGTATTGAATCGCATCGCTCTATACATCATCGATCCGTCTATATTTATATCTAAAAATACATTAAAAAGCTGAAAAACGCTGAATGAGGAGAAACTGTTAATGTTTAGGGATTGAAAAAAATTGCAAGAGTTGACAAAAAGAAAAATATTTAAGGATCATTGGAAATAATGTAATCATGTAATTACTAAACAAAATTATTGTAATTAATAAACAAAAATTCTGGCTAATTTTGGTCGATTACATTATTTTCCTTTGATTAACTGACTGAGCGATATTAAGATAATTTATTAAAGAAAAATATTTCTTGACAACTAGGTTTTTAAAATTTGAAATACAGAAATGACGCAATTTTCGTGGCATCTTAATATGTACATCTTGAAAAATGTAACGTATAAAATATATAGAGTTTTTCTCACCTTCCTGGATATGATGGAATGCACTGTGGCGCGTCCGTCGCGTACCATGAATATAAATTTGGCGTTCGGGAAGAGTTCGAGGATGTATGAGCCCATTTTTAGGGTGAGTGGGTCCTTGTTGCACAATCTTGGCGCCGGCTCGGCGTGTCGTGCTATTATCTCCAGGCAGAAGGCTGCTATCGCGCTGTCTATCACCTGGAGAAGAGCAACAGTCTTGATATCCCAAAATACTTCTACAAGAATTTTGGTACGTCTACCATTTCTTCTCTCTTTTATGTGCGTAAAAGTACAGGAAAGTTTCAAATGTAATATATTCAGGTATTTTTTAATATTTTTTTGGAAGGTGAACGAGCTTACCATGTTAGCTTTTGGACCAACGCGACCAGTTTAAGATTCGGAGAACAAAGTTTACAATTTTGCGCCATAGTGAAGTACAATTATTCAAACTGTGTACATAAATCTTGTACTTTTACTGAGTTTTTTGGAGGGTAAGAAGGACGGGAGACGTTTAAATATCGGGGCGAATTTAAATAAACCAAGTATCCTACTTATGGAAAAGTTTCCGGGGTTGCCCGTTTTTCCATGTTTTTCAAGAGTACTAGAGAAGTAGTGTCGCACTCTCGATAAATAGGGAAAACGTTGGAAACTCTTTTTTCCCGAGAGTTCTATTTTCCTTTGTCGTCAGACGATACATTATTCAAATCTGTCCCATTTCATTGAGATATATTTCTTATGTCTCTCTCCTTTTTTCATCATAACTTACCGTCATTATTTCTCACGTTTTCAAGACAAACACACTTACTTCTTTCGAGATTCCCGCCTCGGTAAGTCGCACATTCTCCTTCTCGGATTTCGACCAGTGCATCTTCATCTGGAGAATCCGCGGGATGACTCTGGTCTCTTGTCCGCACCTTGAATAAAGTTTGCCAAATTGTTTAATATAATATTTTTTAATATAATATGAATATAATATATAATATAATATTATATAATAAGTCATTATATTATATTTTAATAAATAAATTATTTCTATTTTTTTAGGTCTATCTTTTTCGAATTTATTGAAATCTAAAATATCCTGGTAACGTAGCACTCACCTCACGTCAGGATGTGCATCCAACATGGCACGCATCAAGGTCGTACCTGATCGTGGTACACCGCCGATGAAAATGAGCGGCATGTAACGATCGTACGTGTACGTCTTGCGATCAAACGGCCCGACCACATATTTCTGTTCAATAAAAACATAATAATCAAGTATATAATATATGAAAATTAGTATCTAAAATATATATATAAGTATAAATATATATTTAAAAGAAAATTAGTATCTAAAATATATATATAAGTATAAATATATATATATATATATATATATATATATATATATAAATATATACAGCATGTAAAAATTTACACATAATATACATCTTCATTATTACATGTTTGGTAAAAATCTAACAAGAAAAATACAATAGTTTATCGAAAATTCATATTATCATTCAAATAAAAAATTACGTTAAATTATTGTTATTTTATAAAACATTGCTTTTGCAATTTTATAGACATCGTTAAAATTCAATTTAAACGAATTTTGTTTAAAAAATTGAATAAAGGATCAGAACTAAGGATATTTTGCTTTGTTACATTTATATTCATGTAAAGTTCATTCGCAGAAAATCTTTCATTTTTAATCGTTTTTAATTAGAAACAATATAAAATAAAAAAAAAACTTTTGATTGTATTTTATATAAAAATTTTGTTTATTTATTTCGACTTTTATCCTACCATTTTATTAAGCAAATAAATCAATAAATATGTATATATATATTTTTAACTATATTTATATACATCTTTATATTTTATTATAATGTATATAATATTATATTATATTATGTGTGTATATTTTTATTTATTTATTTATCTATCTACTTATTTATTTATTTAACAAAAAAGAGAAATATAAATAAATATAAAATTTTAAATGTAAAAATATAAAATGTAGAGAAATAAAGATATATATTCTTTTTTATTTTATTATACATTTTACCGAGTTAGGCCCATAAGTAAGTGGGATATAAACTCTTGTTCATCGTTCGTTCCGGTATTTTACCATAACTACCTTAACACAATTAAAGTAAGTCTGCAAGAAAATTAATAAAAGCGTCTCTCTCAAGTTGACGGCGGAAGTAGATCGAGAAGACACGAAGTAGTTGGCTCAAAAGTTAGACTCGACAGTGTATCGACTTTGTCGGTGAAATAACTTGGTCGAACTATTCTTCAGAAACGCCGGATATCGCTTCGTCTACGTCCGGCAGTTTGGCGTTGATTAAGGCCAAAATGAAGCTCCAGTCTGTTCGTTAATACCTCATCCAACAGTTACGTAAATTCGTAGTCATCTTTCTTCTCCTTCGCAATTACACATCGAAAACGTGGCGAAAGATACGCGAGATTAATCTTTCATTTCTATGCCACGTTCCACATATGTTTCATTTTGTGTATATTAAGTAACTAGACGCATATATGTATCTAGTAATCTTTCACTTAATAACATGTCAAAGTATCGTGTCGAGAATTTTTGAATGACTGGGAGAATCATTATTACATTTCTTGCTAAAAAGTTTTTGCAAAAATTACAAAAATGTTATCTTTTTTTTAATTTAAAATTAATTTAAAAATTTTTTAAATTAAAGAATTTTTGAGAAAATTACGAAAACGTTTATTGAATTGAAAAAAAAGTTTTAATCTCTCGCGACTAATTTTTCAATTACCAAAATACGCAGGCGCTATAAAAGGATACTACTTGTTTAAGACAATGTTTATTTTCACAAAGCTCATTTGGATTCAAATAAATTTTGTCTAGTAAATTTCAATTTGTAAAGCGACGTATTCATAATCAACAAATTCGCTCGACGGATTAAAATTCGATATTTGCATGAAACAGAGCTCTTAACAAGCTCGACGCAATTAATACTTTGACAGCCATTAATTGCCGATTAATAATGTATAGGCTCCATGAGACTCGAGCCGTGATAATGTATTGTGATATTATCGTTATTATTATTTCAATTAATTATTATTGTTATTATCGCATTGGGAGGGAACGAGAATGGAGTTCTCTCTCTTTCATAATATGGGTAATTAAAATTTTAATAGAAAAAGAGAAAGAGAATTAATAATTGTCTATTTAAATATCAAAAATTCCAAAAAATATACTACACATTTTTAATTATATATTTATATAATTATATATTATATAGATATTAATTATATATAAATATATATATATATATATATATTTAATATTTTTTATGAATTTTTATTTATATATATTTAATGCAATTGTACCTTATGTAATAAAAAAATTATCTATATTATTTCTAGTTATTAAAGAAAGGACACGTAATTTTTATATCGTGCAGTAAATTACAGTTTGACTGAAACACTCACCTCCTTGCTAACCATCACGGCCGTGGGCATGTACCTGGTGGAGCCGCAAATAATGCCCAGCTGATAGAGGGCGAAAAGGAGGAGAAGACCCACCAGGCAAGCGATGGGCCCTTTCCGGCTGCTGCGGCTCGACAGGAACAACATGTCGCCCGCCGGGTTAAAAATCGCCTCTCATCAGGTGCTCCGTGGATAATTTACTACCTCATTGTATCTGCAAAACACAATCAAATTCCCTTTCATAAAATGGATGTTTCCGAAATGTATATAAAATTTCTGAACAATTGCGATTTATTAAAATTAAAATTAAAATTAATTAAATTGAAATTAAATTAAAATTAAAATTTGTTCTCTCGCAAATTTTATAATCATCTTAAGAGATCTTAAGAAAATTACGAATCTAGTCATTCATAGATCTGGATTAATCTTTGATTTTTCATATTTTTATCACGATATAAAGTTAAATTTCATTTTTGCATCATTAATTTTAAAATAACTTGATATTTAAGTACGAAATAAATTTTTAAAATAAATTTTTTCGAAAAATTCGCCCGTCCTCGACAATTCTCGCTGATCCATTCTGTGGATAGATTGTAAAAAATTAAGTTCCGATCCTTTTTCGGAGATTTGAAGCGTCCGAATCGAAGGGTAGTGAAAAGAGGTTTGCCAGTTTCGGAAATTCACTGTTCGCATCTTCGAGAAGATATCTCTATCTAGATATAAAATACACGCGCGTTTTATCACGAGCTTTTCTCTCCGCCCTTCTTTTCCTCGATCGTTTTTCCGGTTCCCATGAATCTTATCTGGTTCTTCCGGATGTGTGCTGTCGATATTGTTTTCACCTTAAGCTTGATATTTGTCTAACATGTCGAATTGTCGTCGTAAAATTGATATCCTTGCAGCGCCATGAGAGAGAGAGAGAGAGAGAGAGAGAGAGAGAGAGAGATAGATAAATAAAAATAGGAAAAAAGAGATCTTGAACGGGATCGATGTTTACGACGCGTCTAACACTTGAAAAATATTGTTGCTCTTCGATATTTAAATGACATATTTCGAAAAACGTATATCTTACCATTCAATCATATAATGGATACAAACAACCTATGCATCGAGAATCACTCTGCATCCATTTGAAGGGCGCGAAATAAATTATAATTTTGGAAAAAAGTGATCGCAATAAATCTTTTTTAAATTATCCAAAAAATTATGGATAAAACGCTAAAATGTTAAGCATGAAATTTTTATCTGTTTAAATATTACTTTTCAAGAAGAGAAGAGAATCATGGAAAATCTCTTTAATCTACGGGAAACACTGTAATATTTCTCGTAAATCCATTTCCGGTATTATTTGAATAACAATGTCTAAACGAAGTCAAAATTACAGCACACACTGGATTAATACTTTTTTTCTTTAAACGACGTAATTTACTGCATCATGGAAAAGCAGGAAATAATGTAAGTCGAGAAAGAGAGAGAGGGAGAGAGGAAGAAAGAGAATACCAGGTTACATCACATTTTCCTTTTTCCAACGACGACTTTACGTAATTGTACGCCGCGTTTCGTCGTCGACGCGTAAGTTTAATGAAAGTTCAATGTGCTTTAGTGACGTCAGTATCTTTAAACCGATACCCCATTATAATTGATGTGGTTGCTTGACTGACGCGCTAACGAGAACGAATCGATCCCGGGGGTGGAGTGGTTCTCAGTTAAGTTTCTAGGAAAGCTATCAATTAATCCCGAATCGTTCGAATTATCCCACCGTGATATTACGCAACGTGCACAGTTGTTCAACGAAATTGGAATTGCGGAAGAAAATATTGAATCCTGAGATATATCGATTTAAAAAAGAAAAAATAGATTTGTAAGTAATATAATATATAATGTAATATATTATTTTTTCTTAATAAAAAAGAAATTTGAAAGATGCTTCCATAAAATATATCGATAAATAGATAGTTATAAATGATTTAAAAGAATTAATTAACAAAAATACGCTAAATGTTTCGCCCTCAAGATATTTAATTATTCTTTTTACTGTAAAAATACGTAATATAACATTTTATTTTTTTTTATATTAAACTCTTGATGCAAATGACAAAGGTACGAATCTGAAATTCTCTAGAAATATCGCGTCGAGTTATTATTCCAGCACCACAATACATTTTCTAGCTCCACAAAAAAGAAAAAATAGATTTGTAAGTAATATAATATGTAATGCAATATATTATTTTTTTTTAATAAAATAGAAATTTGAATGATGCTTCTATAAAATATATCGATAAATAGATAATTATAAATGATTTAAAAGAATTAATTAACAAAAATACGCTAAATGTTTCACCCTGAAGATATTTAATTATTTTTTTTACTATAAAAATATGCAATGTAATATTTTATTTTTTTATATTAAACTCTTGATGCAAATGACAAAGGTACGAATCTGAAATTCTTTAGAAATATCGTGTCGAGTTATTATTCGAGCTCCACAATACATTTTCAAGCTCCACAAAAAAGAAAAAATAGATTTGTAAGTAATATAATATGTAATGTAATATATTATTTTTTCTTAATAAAAAAGAAATTTAAAAGATGCTTCTATATCGATAAAAATACTATAAAAATACTATAAAAATATGCAATGTAATATTTTATTTTTTTATATTAAACTCTTGATGCAAATGACAAAGGTACGATTCCGAAATTCTTTAGAAATATCGCGTCGAGTATTCCACAGTACATTTCCACAGTACATTTCCACAGTACATTTTGGTGGAGTTCCAATTTTGTTGAACAGTAATTTGCAATAACGGAGGGAAAGGGTAGGGGAGGGGCGAGTGTAACATGGAGCGATCTTCGTTTTGCAACCGCGCGGCGAATTCGGCCAAAAGTTACGATGCACATCAAATATTTGACTTGAACCTTTCGCGTGTATAATCACAAACGTTCCATTTCTATCAAGCTCATCCATCGCCGCCCAGTTCGCGAGCAATTTAAACTTTAATCGCGAAAACTGCGGAACAATAGCGGACAGGCCGCGTGCGGAACAGACACGGATACTCATTATATATAGCATGGAAATATAGGAAATATAGGAAACGCGTAGCATCCCTTTCATCCGAAACTACACAATCAACGGTAACAATAATGGCTGGGAAACACAACACCCTAGGTGATCAGAAAAGCGGCGAAATGAAACGCATGGGAAAAAATCGGGCCGAAATTTTCTGACAACGGTATATATTCGCGATCATAATATTCGTTCGCGGAAAATTTGATTTTATAATTCATAATTCAACATCAATTACGATGACGCAATTGATATTCATCGCGTAGCGATATAGAATTAGGTGGCATTTAACGATACGGTGATAGATATTATTGTAGTTGCAATAATAATAACAATAATAATAATAATGACATCGTCGAACGCTGCGGACTGGAAAATCACCGAGTAAATCCGAGGGACAAACTGGAAAATAATAAACAATTATTATTATTTTGATAGTAATAACGCAATGTAACGAGCGAATTTATAGTTTCCCTGCTCGAGCGTTTCTAGAATCATTACCCAGGTAGAACATGAAACTCATAATGACATCATTAGGACGTCATCATGATTTTATTTATCACTTAAAAGTTATTTAAATAAAAATGATTAAAAAAATGAGTTAAAGATGACCAAAAAGAATCATAAATTTTTAAGTTCAATAATCATTATATAATTTTAAAAAGATTATGTTGCTTAAATATAATTAAAATATACATATAATACATATAAATACATACTATATATACTATAATATTTATACATATAGTCAATATAATATCGAAAATAAATCACCAAAACATTGCCAAAAGTATATCAAATGAGATCATTATGATTCTGAAATGATTCTAAAATGACTTTTAGGTGATGTCATTATGAGTTTCATGTTCTACCTGGGTATTTGCAATGTTTATCTGAAATTCCATCGAGAATTTTTATCTCGCAACACCGAGTATGCTATTTTGCATTTTTGACGTGCCCTTTTCAATATTTTACGTGTCGAGTATTCGATTTTCGTTGAAAAAAACAAAAATTAATATCGCACGATACACAAAATGTTAACGAGTACCCACAAGAAACCCTTCTTGGTTCATTTTATCCTTGATTAAGTACAGATTCGCTTCGTTTAGTTTCTAACGTTCATTATCACATAGATGAGATGCTCTCGTTAAGTGAGCCGGATCACCATAATCGATCGAGATTTCGCTCCGTTATCCCCCATCGCTATCGAAAGTCGATCGGGGTGGCTGGAGTTCAGGTGGAGAAAACTTTAAAGCCACACGTTGAGAGCAGAGCGGTCAAACCTACTTAGCGCGACGGTGGCCGTTATTTTTCGCTTTTTATCTTACAACAAAATTCCCTTACGGTTGCTACAGCCGCCTTTGAAAAGCGCCGATGCTGAGAAGCGGTATTACATTAATGTTACGCCAGCGGAAAAAATGAAAACTGACGGCTTTTTGCACCGAGCGACTCTTTGCCCTTCCGGCATATTTCGCATACGGTAATATTCATAAGGATATTTAACACCGAGAAAATTAAAGAAGCGCAAAAGAGAAGGTTTTTGATTTTTTAACCAAATTTATTTTTAATAAAAAAAAATTTTCTGCAAGTTTATCAAAGGATTTTGCGCGAAATTAGTCTAATTTTACGCTGTATATGAATTATATTTATGCTGCGATAATATATATGATATTTCATACAACATACATACATTTATATAAAAATACATACAATTTGTTTTCATATTTATTATGAAAATAAACGTTTTTTGTTAATTTACTTTATATTTATATTTAAATTTTATTTTCTATAAATTTGCATTTTTAATTGATATTTTATACTTTTATTTCGTATTATTTTATATTGTTCTTTTATATTTACCTTTTCACTTTACCAGGGAGAGAGAGAGAGTGCAAAGATTACAAATTTGTAAACGTAACGAGCGACAATATCTCGCGGACGACATTTGGATTACGCGTTGAAATTGTGTATTCTCTGCCTCGGCAATCTTTTAATGGCGGCAATTATCGGCCGGGAAACGAGGAAGCATGCCTCCCGGAAACCCGGAATCGGGAAACGCAAATGCAACATCGGTGCGTACATCACGTGCGTGAAGTTCCTGCTAATTGAGAACCAACCAAGCTCGCGATCTAAATCGCGAATCGAAT